GAGACAGAGACAGAGACAGAGACAGAGACAGAGACAGACAGGGAGGCTGTGCTCTGACAGGCCGAGGTCACGATCTCCCCTAGCCGCAGCCCTCCCTATGCTGAGGCAGGGCCTGGTGCTCTCAGGGAGGCCCAGGTGTGACCCCGAGCCGTCCCTGTGTGGGAGCCTCAGCTGCACCTCAGGAAGCCCCTGCACAGGCCTCCTGATGACTTCTCGGCTCCACAAAGGCAGGCCGCCAGCAGTAGCTCAGACCACGCCGTCTGCCAGCCTGCTTCCCGGAGCACCTACACGGAGCTTCACATCACCAGCCCCGTTCAGTTTTCACTCCTATTGACATACTCCTTTGCCCAGAGAAGCCATGTTTTAAATGATATTTTCCAAAATAGACATTTTCTTAAATTACACCATGACTGCTTAAAATGAAAGGAACACACACACACACACACACACACACACACACACTCCCCACAGGTAGAATGATCTTTTCTGAAAGTATTTTTTGGGCTGTATTTAAAAACGAATGCCTTGGGGCCAGCAGGTGGCATGGTGGTTGGGACGCTGGGCTCCCACATGGTCTACTGTGGTTTGAGTCCCAGGCCTGACAGCTTGCTTTGTCACTTTCTCTCTTTTTCATCTCTCTGGGGAGTGTGCATGCCCTATAGCAACGTGCAGAAAGAGTGGTAATAATAAAATGAAATAAATAATGCTTAACTGAAAGCCAGAATGACCATGAGGAAGACACCGTGTGCTTGCTCACCCCCCGGGACATCCGCACCCTGCCCCGGTGTACACCTGTCTCTGCATGTTCTTCCATTGCCTGGGTGTCAGGTGAGCTGGCAGTGCTGGCGAGCTGGCAGCAGGAGCGCATGAAGATCCGGCATTAGGACCTACTTCTGGATTGTCTATTCCGTTCCAAGGGTTTACATGCCTTCTTCGTGCAGGTACCATACTGTTTTGGTTATCACAGCTTCATAATACTTTTGAGGTCAGGCCGTGAGATGCCTTCATTTTATTCTGTTCAAGCAGTATTGCCTTGGAGATACGGGTCCTGTCATGATCTCGGATCAATTTTATGATTGGTTTTTCTATTTCTGTGAAGACTGTCACTGGTAATTTGATAGGAATTGTATTGAATTTGTAAGTTAGTCTGAGTAGCGTCAGTATTTTGATTATGTCGATTCTTCCAGGCTAAGAACAGGTGACGTCCTTTCACATTTGTGTATCGTGTTCTATTTCTTTTTCCAGTTTTTTGTAGTTTTTTTAGGGATCTTTCACCTTTGGCTTATGCCCAGGTATCTTATTCTGTGTGTGGCTACTGTAAATGGGATCGCTTTCTTCCATTCTAAGTCCATTTGTTCATTGTTGGTATGAAAAACATTATGGGTTTTTGTATATTGATTTTGTGTCTTGCCAGTTTACTGAATTCATTTATCACTTCTAGAAGTGTCTCATGGATTTATTTGTAGATGTTCTGTGTTGTCATGTCATCTGACCATGGACAATTTTACTTCTTCTTTCACTATTCGATGCCTTTCATTTTGCTCTCTCATCCGATTGTATTGGCTAGCACTTCTGGCGCTGTGCTGGAAAGGCATGGGGAGAGAGGGCAGCAGGTTTTAGCAGGAAAGTTCCCAGCTTTCCCCAGTCAGCCTGATGTTAGCCATGGGTTAGTAATGTACGGCTTTCATTGTATAGGCCACTGGTTTTTGACAAAGGGCACACGACAATTCAGTGGGGATAAGAGTCTTTTCAGCACGTGGTGCTAGAACAACTGGATATCCATCTGCAGAGAAGTGAGACGGGACCCCTACCTCTCACTAACAAAAATCAGCTTAAGAGGGACCGAAGAGCTAAGAGTAATGCTTCAAACTATAAAACTGCTTGTGAAAAATACATATTTGAAGACTTTGGAGAAGGCAAAGATTTCTTAAGTAAGACTCTTAAAGCTCAGGCAACGAAGCCAAAAAACAGACAAGTGAGATGACATCAAGCTAAAAAGATTATGCCCAGCAAAGCAAGCAGTAATTACAGTGAGGAGACCATCTCGGAATGGTAGAAATATTGTAAGCTATGCTACAGATAAAGAATTGGTAACCAGGATACATAAGGAACTCGAGCAGCTGAGCTGTACAAAAAGAATAATCCATTGGAAAAATGGGCAAATAGTTGAACACAACTTTCTAAGGAAGACATCTGAATGGTCAAGACACATATAAAATCTTTCAGCATCTCTTATCAAAAGGGAAATGCAAATCAGAACTATGGGCAGGAATATAAGCTAGTATTGGAAACAATATGGTGGTTCCTTAAAAACCTGCAGATACAACTACCATATGACCCAGGGCACAGCAGGAGTTTAAGCTACCAGGCCTGGGACTTGAACTGCGGTTGACTATGTGAGAGTCCAGTGATGTACCCATTATAACATCTACTGGTCCCTTTCTAATTGATTTTATTTCGGTTTTTACAGCACACAGTGTGAGTTCTCAGAACACGTATGCCTTGCATGTCAAGCAAGTCGAAGACATCACCGTTCGCGGTGACTCTGCACTCTGCGTCTGCGGCACTTCTCTCCGGGCCCTCCCCTGTGCGGTCTCTGGCGTCTGTCCTTGCTGTCTCTGCTATTACACCTTCCACCTCTCAGCTCCTGCCAGGAAGTTCGGTCGTTCGGTCGATACTGAGCGGAGACATACGGTCCATCTTTCTAGTTGTCCTTGCTTGTTCTCTTAGCTTTTGACAAGATTTTTGTTTCGCTTTGTTTTACTTTTTATTTGGAATAGAAATGTTGAAGATTCCCACTAGCAGTGAGTCAATGAATTCAAAGTGAATTTGCCAAAAAGAATTAATCTAGAAATGGCAGGAAGTGGTATTCCCCTCACCACCATTGTTCCTCTCACAAGAACACTTCAGTTTGAATGTCTTCAGGATGTGTCACCAGATGGGCCTACAGTCAATTCGCGCAGAGGAGCCCTGGACAGGCAGTGTCAGCAGGGTCACTGACCATTAGGTGACAGAAGACTCAATCTTTCATTTGAAAAGGTCAGTGAAAGGTTATTTACTGTAAATTCTTTGCTTTATACACAACTTACGTTTTCGTAAGTTCTATCAGCCTGAGGATTAACAAACAAACAAGATGTTCAAATAAGAGCTCCTTGAAGAGCAGTTGTGGTCTTTGTCCACCTTGTAGAAAGGCCCTTGGTCCTGCTCCCCCAGGCTGCCCAGCAGCCTGGGTGGGCGGGGAGTCTCGTCACTACCCATCCTGTTGGCAATCTTGCCATTTCCCTCGTCTCTGCCCTGCCCCTGGTCTGCAGTAACCACCTGCTGCTGAACATGCCATGCAGGTGTCGAAGCCATTGCGGGGCATCTGTGTGCTGCCTGGAGGTGCTGCTGCAGGCCCACTGTGCTTAGGCTGGAGTGTCCAGGCTCCCAGGCTCCAGCCTCAGCAGGGGAGAACCCCTCAGCCCAGCTAGTCCTCTCCTCCTCCACATGGCCCCAGTTACCAACTGCTCACTTCTACTTTATCCTAGCCCCTACCTGAGACATCAGACCTGGAAACAAGGCCACAGGGTTGCTCAAAAGACAGCGTGGGCAACAGACACTGCTCCATGCACAATGACCTTTGCCGTCTTCCACTCTGAACAGCTGGGTCCAGATGTGCACCCTCTGAGTCTTTCCCTTGAAGGCCTCTGGGTCTTTCATGCAAACAGACATGATACGGAGGGTCTCTCTGGTCCTGCAGACATCTCCTCATGGTTGAATGACAGCCTCAATGCATGTGACCTAGTTTCTTGAATTGGACATCTTGTTGCATAGAGATTAATACCTTAAGACCTAGAGAAATAAAATGACTTGTTCAAAAGCCCACAGAGTAGCACCGGGAGAGTAGGTCCTCCCCTCTGTCACACTCAAACCACTGTCACAAATGCTTCTGTTCCCTTCAGCTCTGCGATGAACATAGATTAAAAGCTACTGCGTTTTCCTCCTTCATTTGATCAATACCCAAATCTGAAAGGTGGTACTGTCACCCCCGTAGCTATGTGGGGCTAGTGCAAAGGGGACTGCCTGCCGTTCACCCTGAGCAGGACGGTGTAGGCATTTTCACATACATTACAGAAGGGGGGATGACTGACAGAGAGAGTGAAAATGTGCAAAGGGGTGGAGGTGCAGTGACTCAGCTTTATGTGGGACTAATTCTTCCAGGTGCAAACATCCCAGGTCCTTCCTCCCCTCCTTCCCTCCTCCTTCTCCCCCCTCTCGCCCTCTTCCTATCGTCTATTGTATCCACCGTCATCTTCTCACCCCCCCATCAGGGATTTATTACCTAGCTACTAACCTATCACCTACTTCTTCCTCTGCCACCTGCCTATCAATAACGTAGCCTTAGAAATACATGTATGACACATGTTTTTAATAAACACTTATTGGGCACCTACTTTGGGTCAAGAATTGCACTAATCATATTTATAAATCTTATTTATTGATAAATCTCATAAAGCTCTCTGCAACAGTTCTAATTGTTATTTTCCAGTTGACAGCACTGAGACCTTTCTACACACGTAGCTGCTCTAAGTAAGTGCACTGGTTTCTATCTAGATCTTAGCAGAACAACCATCTGTTCACTTACAAGTATTTGTAAGTCAGACAGTAACAGCCCGTGTGCAGAATGGGGAGTTGAGTCTGGTTAAGAATTTAGTAAGGAATAACATGACGTAGCCTAAGTGCCATGAAGTTCTACAGCTTTATGGGTCTGCAGTGATGGCAGACTTCGAGGTTCTTTAGGTCCAGATTTGAACAGTGACTGGTGTTCCTCACTGGCTCAGTGACCTCGGATTAACTACGGAGTTCCTACTTACTGATCGATGAGGACATGGTGATTGTCTTGCAGAGCTGCACGGGAACGTGGGACGATGCATGTACCCTTCTGCACGCAGTGCCCAACATAAAGCAGTAATAAAAAGAACGGCTCTTTATTAAGTGCTCACCGTGTCCTAGATATGACGGCGAGCAATCTAGCAGGTGTATTCTATTTAACCCTCTCACAGTCCTTTCACCTCAGACCTGGCAAACTCACCACTTGCACGTGGACTGCCCGAGGTAACAGCCACAGGGGCCGCAGACCAGCGTGGGACGGCTTCCGTCTGACTGCAGGTCCCTCCCGCAGACAAGAGGGCGCCGTGCCCAGTGCCTCACCGGGAGACCTGCTGTGGAGGGGCCCGGCTTCTCCCTCATTGGCACAGATCACGTAACAGCTCCCTGCAATGACGTCATTTTGTTATGAGAACATATTTAAAGGGAACCACTTTGGAGCCTTAACACCCAACAACAGCAGCTTTATTTCCGAAGCATTATCGTTGACCTCTGTGCCGTGGCTCTAAGGTGAGGCTAGACTATGCTTAAGACAGATTGAGGTAGAATCATTCTGGGGCTCCTTTAAATGAAGCCCTGCCTCTGTGCCTCCTGCCGCTCATTCTCGGGTGGGTGTTATTTGTCACTGCTCAGGAGGTCATTGGGTCTGAGCCAAGGTAAGCTACTGAGACTCCTGCCCCCCTCCTGCCTAAATGTACTAATATAGTAGACCTTTGTTAGGACATGACTCATCTGCAGATCTGGATATACTGCTGGTCAACCCAGGTCTTCCAAACATAACAAAGACCCCTGCCAAAGCCTCAAATAATGATTGGTCCACGACGCAGGTATTAGTCCTATTTCTTAGGACTTGAGTTATTAAGTGTGAAGGTGAAATAACTCTGGATAGAGTGCCTGAAGACTTGGTTTCACAGAAGTGGCTTAAGGCGTGTGCTGAAGAGCATGCTCCCAAGACACGGATTGAGATATATGGAGCCGGGCAAAGGGTTGATTTCACTACCCCTTGGCTCTTACTTCCAAGGGGGGTCACCTGGAACTTGTGCATTCCATACAAGGAGGGGTGCAGGGCTTCAGGGAACTTGCTGTATGTATTATTTTATTTCTTTTCTTTTTTCTTGTTTTAGATTTTTGCCCTGGGGCACGTGTGCTTGCTGGAGAGAGACAGAGAAAGACAGTGAGAGGAAACGTGAAGAATCACTGCCCGGGGGAGAGCCACACCGCAGTCCCTTTTTCCATATTCCCCTCTTGGAATATTCAGCATGCGTGCACGTGCACCTGGTGTGACGGCCAAGCCTCCAGATCCAGGACTTGAACCGTGGTAGGCCACGAGTGAGTCCAGTGCCTTAACTATAATGCCACCTGCTGGCCCTTACTAATTTATTTCTTATTCAGCAGGTATTGACTAAATGTCCAGTGTGTGCAAGAGCATGCTCTGGATGCTGGGAAAACTATGGCGAGTAAAGCAGACAGACCTCCGGCATCGGGGATCTTGCAGTACTAATATTCCTGTTTTCTTTATATACCTTGTGTACTATACACATGTACACACACACACACATACTATACTATACATATATATAATAACTAATATTTTACTAGTATTCCTGGGCTCTTTATATACCTTGTGTACTATACACATGTACACACACACACACACACTATACATATATATATAAAAACTAATATTTTACTACTATTCCTGTGCTCTTTATATACCTTGTGTACTATACACATGTACACACACACACACACACACACATACTATACTCTACATATATATAATAACTAATATTTTACTACTATTCCTGTGCTCTTTATATACCTTGTGTACTATACACATGTACACACACACACACACACACACATACTATACTCTACATATATATAATAACTAATATTTTACTACTATTCCTGTGCTCTTTATATACCTTGTGTACTATACACATGTACACACACACACACACACACACATACTATACTCTACATATATATAATAACTAATATTTTACTACTATTCCTGTGCTCTTTATATACCTTGTGTACTATACACATGTACACACACACACACACAAACACACACATACGATACTATACATATATATAATAACTAATATTTTTCCTGTGCTCTTTTTATACCTTGTGTACTATACACATGTACACACACACACACACAAACACACACATACGATACTATACATATATATAATAACTAATATTTTACTACTATTCCTGTGTTCGTTATATACCTTGTGTACTATACATAGGTTCACACACACACACACATACTATACTATACATATATATAATAACTATTATTTTTCTGCTATTCCTGTGCTCTTTATATACCTTGTGTACTATACACATGTACACACACACACACACA